CCTTCGTTCGGTAACTAAGGGCTTCACTTATCAGCAGAAGGTAGCCTTTGAGGCGAGCTCAGCAATTAACATAATTCAAGCCTAAGTACGAGTCAGTCTCAAGTTACCCTTTCGTGAATAGCTCTAAGTTATTTTCTGCTGGTTTATGTTACGGAAATTTATTCTCAACAATTGTTTATTGCCGTTATATTTATACTTGCTTCTTCTTAAGAGCATGACATCTTTCTCGCTTGTATATAACGAAGGGATGAACGCAAGACTGTCGCCGTTCACTTGAAGGGAACGCTGCATTGCTGGTGCACCCTTCAGCACGACTTGCCAAGCGTAAGGCTGCAGAAACAGTCACCAAACTGTTAACCGAAGTGTTTGTGTAACGCCAGTATGAAAATGGCCTTCAAGTACCAGGTGGATATACCAGGCAAGCACGTGAAGAAGTACAATCGTCACATAAAACACGTTAGTCGATAAAAACTGCAAAAAAAAGTCTATCAAAAAATAACTTATTGCCGGTTTTGCAATATACTTAAATTAGCTATCTCTATTTTTGATTTTCTAAACCAGAAGAAAATTAGGCTCATACAAATAGGCCATTATATGAACCTATATGACACTATGTATAAACGAATACACAAATATACAAGCGACACAACAATATATTAGTTGTACGTACGAGGGACGCATCTAGTTTAGCGTGAAAGCAGCTTTTTCAATAGCTGGCAACCTGTTTTTTAGTTTCAACTACATTATTCGTTAGGTTTGTACCGGTATGTAAGTGGTAATTTTCAAATAAAAGTTTCTTAATTATAATATTCTAAAATATACATAGTCGTCGTTTGTTTCTGCGTGCACTAGCCTAGAAGATTTTTTGCTCTGTCCTCTATACATGTTTAGGTAGATTGCTTAATTGAACTGAATGCTTAATTGAATACTTGTACCGGTAGGCTGTAGCGCAATGATGGCCCTAGAGGAACAACCGATTTAAGGTCGTCATTGAAACTGAATTTAACAACAATTCTCAAAAACATAGAGTTTTTAAGTATGTGTATGGCATATCGGTTTTGAGAGTACGGCATCCGAAGTTTTCAGAGAACAAATATGTGCCACACGCTCAGAAACCTTAGTTTCAAGGTAAATAAAAAAATTGGGCTTAAAACCACTATTTCAATAGGCGTGTACTGCATGCTTTAACCTAGGCGTGACGAATATGATCAGAAACATCCGAAAATAACCACCCGCAGCTCGCAGAAGAAATAGGCTCACGAGATCGATAAAGAGAGAACATTTCCAGTACCAGGATAATTCCAGGAGGACGAATATATCTGAAGCATACGGTATTGGAACCTGAAATAATAGAAGAGTCTATAATCACCTTCTGTTTAATTACGCCGTAAGTTCACGAGAATTTTACCTAATTTGGATAAAAACAATTGGATAACTTCAATCGATGATGTACTAACTATCTTTCTTACACATTTTTCAAGCAGTTCTTCAGTTCAGTTCAGTTTTTTTTGCAGAAGTTAATATCTTTATTTGCGATACAAACTTTTGAGGGGGATAACAGGAAAGAGCAAAGTCGTATAAACTCGACGAAGCAAAATATCCCAATTAAATTTCGTGTTTTTTTTACTAAAAGTACAGTTTGTTACTAAAATGAAACTTAAATTGTCTGTTGTGGGCGATAGCCGAACGCTTTCCAAAAATTGAGCTGTATACTTAACTGGGGTTACGCTTTAATTGTTTGAGAGAAAATCATAAAAGAGCACCCCTCAATAAGCCGTTCAAAATGTATAGCATTACTTCCTTCGGATGAGGTCCAACCTAAGCGCTCGTTTAAGCTTCACGACCTCACTTTGACCATCATCTAACTTATATGAAATTATCGTAGAATATCCATTTTCACCACCCGTCGCGGGGTTTGTAAGAGTAGATAGGGGTTTGTAAGTTTAGTCTTAGAAGCTTATTGGCTGTGCAGACACCGTTCAAAAATGTATACTAATGGAGGCTTAGATGTTTATTCGACCGACGCAATCGTTGGTTCCCAGATGTCATTAAACGATCGACTCAGATGTCATGTGATTCCTGCAATTTAGTGAAGGCTCATATGTAGGCTTTAATTGACTACAATGAGAATTTTAGGTCCTCCAAGCTAGAAGACCGACCTTTTGTCGAAAATGAACGAACCATTTCCTGACCGCGCAATACTAATGCGCTGTAATATTGGGTCTATGTACCTCTGAAATTTCCTAATGAGTTTGGGTCGGACTTAGCGCTTCCCAGAAGCCGATCTTCAAAGGGGATCTTAAATACATTTTTAGAGTTTCCATTTTTTGAAGTTTAGCCAGCCTAACTTACAGGACAATCAGATATAATTTATACCGACTATAGGTGACCAATTGAATATTCCGTTAAACTACTGTTTTGTAGATCTATCATTTGTCTTTGCTTAACAATAAACTGGACTAACACGCACTGTCAACTTGTGGCCTATGAACTGTGAATATTGTCACCGCTGCTAGTGACTATTAGGTCTAAAGTGTGGACATCAGATAAAAAAAAAGTTCAACAAGTCATAAATGAATTCTATATGGGTCTTGTTATCGAGTTTTGCGTTTCAATTTTTTGCGACAGCCATTTGATCTCACGATTGATAGGTTTATTTAGATGAGAATGCGTTTTCTACAAGGTATTTTCTACAAACCTAATTTTTATTATTCTTTGATAAATTCCGTCTTGGTTTACGATCACTATTATTTTCTCCTAAATAAAACGCTGAATATCGTATACACGCTTACTTCGTTAATACAAATAGTGTTTTCTACATAGACACACACTTTCCTAAATATATTAATGAAATAATGTCTATTCAAAATGTTTTTTACTCAATAGATTAATAATGCCGTGTTGATTCGTAATATATATTATTGCATTTGAGCTTGAAAATGAGAATTCAAACTTTGCTTTGCGGTACGCCCAACAAAGGTAAAATCCTACTAGGGAGGCCTATAAAGACGATCCTTTAGAATGGTAAAATTCAACACTACATGTTTCGAGCAAGTTGAATTGAAGAACACCAACCTTGATAGCTGCTGCCACTTTAATGATCGTATTGCACCACGCTGATGTTCCTGTTTTCGCCTGAGCCGGCAACATGTCCTGCTTGTAGCTTCCCCATCTCACTTTTGATTGTTCAAACGCGTCTTTGTGCATCCTTCATGTGTGTAATAGAGGCCTGGCGAATGTTTTCCAGCATATAGAAACATATAATATAACAATTGGGCTTATTTGTTTACTTTTTCAGGTCTGAATCACTTCAAAAAATTCTTCTTTTCCATAATCCTCGTCTGGCTAATGTTTTGCTTATTTTGATAGAATGCTGTATCTCACATTGTCGTTTCTGCCATTCTTTCAATTTAGATTTGCCGATTTTGTTAGGCACTGAAACACGATGTTTTGGTCGAATTTCTTAGCTACTCTTCTCAGACTGTTTTTACAGCACAAAATCATCGGATTTTTCGGTTTTGCCTTCTTTATTGAACACTCAATAGGCAAATGCAAAAATACACGTTTGTGTTGATGGACTACACCTACTTTTTGAGGCGTTACATTTGGAGATTACTTGACGTACCTACCAAATACTTGTAAGGCTTCAATGTAACAGACCTGGTGAAAGTCTTAAAATACGTTTGTCCCGATGCTTTGATTACTGCTATTGTATGGAAGAGATGATTTTGTAGAGCCTTACCTATCCCTGGTGTGTGCTGAAGACCAAGAAATAAATTCTTTCTGCCGTTAAATTCTCTGTCGCAAAAGATATAGACTATTAATACTCGGAGATTTCAGCCTTTTGTCTATTTCGGTTTATTCTATCTTCTTCACTCTTCTTTTCCCTGTTCTGCACTTCTAGGTCATAATTAGGCGTAATCCTCTCCTATCGCAATCCTAGCTGCGGCCTATATAGGCATATTTGAAACCTTTACAAGCACTAAGTGTTTCATTCATTTAGGAAAAAAATATCGAATCCTAAGAACACAGGAGACACGCCTTTGAGGGGCACTGCACGCGTCTTGCAGAGCACTAACGCTTAGCTGCTGCAATCAACTTAGGCACGTTACACAGGTGCGTCGATAAGCAAAAAGAAGGTATTGACGACGAAACATTGATATACATTCATTTACTACACTGAAAACACCCTAGCAGCTGTTAAGTTTATCCTGTTTTATGGAGTCTGGCTGAAAGTATGTGCTTTTAATTTGCTATTTTTCTTGCAGAGTATGGAATTTCAGTTTTTGTTAAACGTAGTTAGAAGTAAAGACTGTTAGCTCGAACGCCACAGTAGATATTTTTGCATCAGTTATTATAGATTAATATAATTATACATTAAGCATTGGGAAAAAGCGATGCTTTTAGGCGTCGTGGTAGTATTATATATATATATATTGTCGCTTTTACAAAGCTTTATGGTCCATAAAGATATTGTTTCATGGTGTCGCGTATAGGGTTGAATAGTGGTACTTATTTCTAGGAAAAAAAGGGAAGCAAAACAGAAAAATGTATTTTAGAAGGTGTCAAAGTTTATATAATATACCCGTACTGTAACATTTTAAAGTTCGATCTCATTTAAGATGAATAGTTTTTATTTTGATATAATTAATTTTAAAACTTGTTTGTTTACCAGTCCTTCTAGAACCCTCAAAAACTTTTGGTTGATTCTAAAAGATCACGTGACTAGCTGGACACGTTGAAGACCACTCTTTGCTAGCACAATGCACCATTATGAAGAAATAAGTTCTAAACTCATGGAGATCTTTTGCTTAATAATCGAATTTTCTTGTGATGTCTAGCACTAATCTTTAATGTTAATTCTAGGCTAAACGGTTTAGATGAACTCGAATATCAACACGGTCCGCGGTGTTGATATTCGAAAAGGTAATTCGAAGTGAGCAAAGAAGGGTTAGCCTACCTTTTCAGGCTATCCTGTACAAGGAGAGCCAGGTTCTTACCCCGTACCCTTTACAAGACGTTGTAGCTTGTCACTTCAACCTTCCATTCCCCCGAACTTCTTCCACAGCTCTGCCATTCCGACATACCGAAATCATTAGGTCAAGATAAAAAAAAAATTACCTTCTTGGAGCTACCTATATATACATATATATTTAAGGGGTTTTGAAGGGCTGTTTACTCATGATTGGATAACGTCTACCTAGCATGTATCGATGAGTGTGAAGCTTGATTCCAGTGAATTAATATTATTTCCCTCAGATTATTACTCGCTAACTTTTATCTCCTACTTTAGCCGTCATTCTAGCCGTCTAGACTTTGAATGAATAATGCCACAAACCCTTTGGGCAAACAAAAAAACACAGAGTAGGAGCGACATATTGGAACAAATTTCGTGTCGCTTAATCGTGGCCTGCATGTGAATGAAACAGACATCGATAGGGACGTTTTTCTTGGCCGTTCTTTCATATGCAACTGCTATTCGCTTTAATCATAACTTCATTTCGCGGCTTAATCTGCTTCCAACGTTGTGTCGAAACATGCCTATTTTAGATACTTTCATTAGAGTGACCGTAAATAGATCAAGGCTATCATGTTAAAGTTTCATAGATTTCCGTTTTTCAGTTTAACTGATCTGAATCTAGGCCGTTAGCGGTTAATAAAAGGCTTTGTTCTTAGACATGCTTAGCCAGCCTTCGTTAATTGGCTCCTACGGATAGATGCCTGCCACCATCCGACGGGGAAACCATTTATGGCTCCAACAGCTTTTAGATCGTTCAAGTAGCTTTTAGCGACTACAGCATTGAAACCTAAATTAGACGCGCCGTCGTTTTTCTTCGGCTATCCCCTGTGGCTGTTGCCCTGTAGCTGTGCATCGTATCGCAACGTGTTCAAAAGGCACATTTTAGGTAACTTAGGCCGATATATACATGCATATGTGCACCTATATGGTATTGGGAAATACAAGATCGTAGTTACTTCGGAACGTTTTAAGATAAGTGACGTAAGAACTGGTTTTATCCACTAGGATCGTGCCATGCTGTGTCCAAAAAAAGATAAGATCCGAGTCTGGTGGTGAAGCAGCAGTGCAGCCAAAGACTTTGCGCACATGCTAACGAGAGACGATTTAACGTCCTTTAAGGTCCTTTAACGTAAGTTTCCTAAATTCACAATGAAGTTTTAGCAGGTCCATGAAGAACAGTTATACTGAGGCTTTACTTTGTGTATGAGTAACACTTACAATAAGCCTGTCGAGGACACGAGAAATATATGGATATACCTAAACGGAGCCACTGTGTTGTGCACTTGAATGCAAAATGTAATTGCTAATAGAACTGATACACGATCCCTCGTAGGTCAAAAACTACCGTACAAACTTCTAACAACTACGGAACGAGCAGCTGTTGCCTGTTCGTACTGCAAGCTTCGTAAGATTTTTTTTATATTTGGAATTAGCTAAAACGGTTTGTGGCATATTCCACCGTAAGTTGAGTAAAAAGTTGAGAATAGTAAAAAAGTAGTATAATAAAATTCCCTATCAAGTGACGAATAATTGAAGATCGAACACATAGGTGACAACTAACTTGCACTACACTTAGGAATAATCCAGTGATGAGAACAAGATCCAGTTTATTTAGCTGTCCTTATGCGCCTACAAACGAAACATTCTGTTCTCTTCTGTCAAATAAATTTTTGAGATTAGATAGCGTGAAATTAAGCGGCGGTGTTTTATAGCTTTTTGCTAAATATATAATTTACGGCTATTCATTAACGGGGTTCCACTGTTAATGAGCAATAGCGGACCTTGTCCATAATGAGTGTATGGGTCTGGTTATTAGTTTGTTGGTAAAAAAAAAGCATCAAGCAAAATCATTGATTAGCCTGTGACGAGTCAATGCGATGGTTTGAGGTGTACCTCTCACTACGTTAGGTAAACGTGAAGACCTCTATTAAATAAGCATGCTTCCAAAGCAAATCTAGAAGCTAACCTTAGCATCTTGCCGGTATCCATTGTCAATCGTTCGTGCGTCAGGCTTTCAAACGAAGCTTTTAACTGCTACACGGTTGAATTGAATTATATAGTACGAACTGCTTTATTTGCTCATATTATATCTTAAATGATTAAGGAATCACAATGTACACATTTATTTATCTGGCAGAAAACTTGTATATATATATATATATTTTCCGATTACAGTATCGAAAAGCCCTTCAAGTTAAAGTCTATAATTTGACCTATTATTTTTTATGGCTAGCGTAAGTACTCAGTGGTACCAGGTTAACTAGATTAGTGTTACAATTGAGCTGGTATTATATTTGAGTGACTCTTTGTTTGTAAGAGTAAATTAATTGGTAATATGCAAGTTGTGTCTGTGTGTACATAGGTTTGTGTTGAGAACTTCACTGCTAGGACTTCATGTATGAACTTATTACCATTGATTTAACCGTAATTGTTTGTCCGTTTAAGAGTACGCGTGTTCCTGTTTTATTCTATCCCGTATAATCCTAGATAGTATGCCAGACAATCCTGGCTGTGGTTCAAGCATGTGTCACTATTGCCACACGTCATATATGAACTAAGAGAACCTTGAAAGGTTCTGTTTTTCATAGAGAACTGTATATGAATTTGATATCAGTGGATAGCTCTGGAAAAGGTTTTGAAAGTCCATCATTTTTATTTCAGGTCGAAGACTTTCAAGTTGGACGGGAATCGAAACGGAAAATCGGATATGGTTTGAAATCTTCCTGTTCGGTTTAAAAAGTGCTCAATTCGATTTAAAAAAAATTAACACTGAGAGCTAGAAATTCGCAAATTAATTCGGCTCGTTCGTTTTAACAATTCGCTAAATAGAATTATTTAGATTGGTAGTCCCTATTTATTTGTCGTTATTTAAATTTCTATCGATCCTTTATTAGTATACATCGATAATACTGCGAAGCTCTATAAGAGGCTTGAATCTAAGAAATTTGACCTACGTACTAAGAAAACAAAGTCTAGACAACTTCAATTCAATAACCCATGCTTGAATATCTGAAAATAAAAAAAAACGTTGATGGATTTCCGTGGTTTTGTAAGGCCGTATTTGGGATCATCAGCTTCCACAAAACATTTCTAACATTTTGTTCCAAATAATAAACAGCGACCCATAGTTTTTTATCAAGGTACCTAAAACTGCAAAAATTTAACGCGCAAGTAATCATAACTACATCCCTAAACATTTACCTAGGGTTAGTTATAATTACATCTATCACTGAGAATTTCTTAAAAATATTAGTAATCTGCTACATTATTAAGCATCGATACAATATAATATAATTATCTAGATGTTTCAAAGAAGTACCTAACATATGCGTAAACTTTATATATGACTTCTAAATTATGAGGAGGCTTTTATTCACTCCTGCAAAAGGCATAGCTACTAGCTATTGAGGATGCGATTATTAAGGCTAAATTCAAATTTGTCTGGCTATTAGCACAAATTTTTCCATTGACAATGTAAATTGACTCTCGTAGGGAATATTGAAATAGTTCGATGGGCCAGCCTACATTATACGATAGGCCAGATACATTTTCATTCATAAAGAGAAAACATGGATATCTTCTATGCATAGTTCCCTGTCGTGCTATAAGCTCGTGGGCTTGGTAGTATAAAATAAACTATGAGAAACACGTTGGTCGAGGCGGTTCTCTGCAGTACGAGCCTACTTTAGCAATGAATTGCAATCTTATACACAAAACTGCTGCCAAAGACACACTAATCTAACCCGTTGTTTCATTCGATTACTCGTGATAAAATAGTTCAAAGGTTAAGGGAACAGTTGAAGAATCACGCCCGTAGGCATCGCCGGTAATTTTTCCCATAACACCTCATTTTTAAGTGAGCTTAAATTTCTCCCTGTCAAGATCCAGTTCCTGCCATCTGGATTAGTATAATTAAATGAGTGCAGAGTTAGAAAACTCGTCAAAGTAATACCCGCTATATGATATTATTTTTCGTTAAGTTGAGTGTAAAATATGTACACGCTGTGAGGTTGACGACTCACTTAGCCTGACGTGCATGATGCACTCGGTGGCGCGAAGCCGTACCGAAAATCCAGCCCGAAGGCCCAAGTTTAGGAATAAATTCGCAACGCCGTTAGAATTGGTAAAGAAGGTTGAATATCTTGTGCAGGAATGTCACATCAGGAGGGACTCCCAGGAACGCTATTGGGAAGTCGAAGAACTACATAATTATATAACTTTAATTAGACTGCTGTTGTTGCAAAAAACTTTTATTTGTAACGCTTCATTAGAGGTAAAAGAACAACCCTCAGTTCTGCGTTATTTGCTACACAACAGTGCAACCGGTGACAAGTACTAACATTTATACAATTGGATTACTTCTGGTCTATTTCCTTTAATTGTAACTGCTATATTGTTTTACATGATTTGTTTCAGCTTTTTGTCAAAAGGAGGCTAGTATCAATACAATGTCAGATACCGGCAAAAACTATTAAACGTAGACAGCGCAGCGGACCACAGATTTATGGAAAGAGCCGGCTGAGGTAACTGACTGCTGTTGTTGGGTATTTTCTTTTTCGTACATTATTATTGGCCCTAGGCGCTAATTTTTTTCGTTTGCCTCATACCTCATGTATCGTAGTAGACCACTTTTTCAACGGACAAATATTTTTAAGCAGGAACAATCCGAGAAGCCGGTATTATGTGCATATTTAAGTGTCTGCTCTCTAAGGGCATTTCCAGTTACTGTTAATGCAGCTGACCCTTGCTACATTGATGGCATAATTGCTTATTCAATGAATAAAAGATGGCAATATGTTTGACTAATTGCGTAGGCCGAAGTGCAGCCTTATCGCATCGTTCCATTATTTCACTCTTATATAATTACTATGTTAGAGTTTGCGGGAGGTTTTTCTGGACATAGTAAAAACTTCTTCGGAAAATATAGGGAACAGCATAGGATAATTAGGTTCTACAAAATGTTCGCAGAAATCATACAACTGAATTGGGTTCGGAAAGATTACGCAGCCCAGCATCACCTTATCGCCTCATATATCGACAGGTAGGAATTCTAGTATGTGGGCGTCACTAAAATTGAGAATTTGCTTTATATTATAAGCGCATGAGGCGATTGGTCATACAATTATACAAATTTACATAAACCTACTATCGTCAATTGGCATCTATGTTGTTACATATGACTTGTTCGGCAGTATGCTAGCAATAGAACAAGATGATCATGTAGGTACTGGTTCTAATTCATTTCCTAGTATTTCCCAACCTAAAGTACATGTGATGGTCTTGTCAAGGGCAGCTCTTGGCTGGCTTGCATTGCTATAATCCAAATTGATACGAATGGTCAAGGGCTAGAATTAGTCAAAGGGACACGTCAAAGAAATGATAATCTTTGAGTACGTATGTGTAATGAATGTGTTAACAGAACCATATATTAACGATATACAATTAATATTATCTAGCATTAACCCTAGTCACCGACAGACCCGACATCCGTCAGCAGCAGACGCAAAATCTTCTAGTATTTAATTAATTATTGAAAACGATAACAACCCCCCACCCCAGAGTGCACAAAGTCGTGCAGATGTGGAATCCTGAATAAAACACGGTAGTTGAAATGTACGAACTATGGTAAGCCTGATACGTTGCCTAGAATATTGCCATTTCTGCAAGTTTCAATAGCAAACGAAAAAATACGATCATAAATGGTATCGATATGGAGTGATATTATATATATTTTAAGAATTAATTAAACAGCTAATAATCTTTCTATCGTTAAAAGGAAATCTACAGAGATGCAACTTACCATGGGCGTATCGATGAAATCCAGAGCAGCAGCAGCAGCAGCAGCAGCAGCAAGGAAAAACATCATGACCTCCAGTTGACCGAATGATAGGTGCCAAGCAAGAATCGTACATCTGTCCGTAAAGCCAAAACTCAACCATGCAGAATGCCAATCTATAGAAAGAATGTTCTCATAAAAGATGTACGGGTTTCATACACGTAATCCAGGTATTGTGGGTTTTAGAGGAGCAACAGTTTGAATTTTTGAATCATTTTCGAACATGTATTTATTGGGTACATTGAAAAAACTATCAGCGTGGTGTGATATACTCCATGTCAGTTGTGCCTCATGACTTCGCTTAGTGCGTTAAACTCCTATCACACATTTGTTATAACTACCTAGTATTTATAACAAATTAATTGAAAATCTGTTCCAAAAACAAGTCCTTTTAGAATAATGGACATACTCCCACTTAGTACAGCCGCTGAACAACAGTCAGTGAGGCAATGAAGAATGCTTATTTTCTTCCCAAGACAATAGTTTAAATAAGGTTCCTCAAGCTTTTTTTTTCTCATTCGGACTCTGTGCAGATGCAAGTATGCGTGAGTGCTTTATTGGAACATACCCTTTGTTTTCTGCGACGATGCAGCTTTAGACGCGATTTTTTTAAATTTATTTATTATTTTTTTAATTAATTTTAATTTCATTAGAGGCGCCACAGACGTTTTCCGTTCACAAGAAAGGCTATTCGAATTATTCCGCGCGCATCTCAAAGAACAATGGTCACAATTCTCCAGCTTGAGTTCGAGAGGCGATGGATTTCTATGGACAATTTGTGAACACGAATCTGTAAACAAAGCTATATAGAGGCAAATCTAGTTGACATGAACGATCGTAAGCGTTCTTCGAAGACCGGGTTCATATCTCGTTTAGCCAATCTCGTTTTCAATATCGTTTATCCAAAACTCAAATGACGAGTTGGCTTTTTGTTCAAAATAAACACCCAAAATTTCCGTTTTACGGTCAGGGCCTAGAGCCCGCCATTGTCAAAACCTGTCATATGTTATATATTCTATTTTAATGGTATTCAATATAATTCACAGTAGCTCCACTTATCTTAATAGATTAATGTATAGGTAATGATGTCACTTATTATGCATCTGTTAGGTGGGAACAAGCAGCGTTTTCTTGCCAAAGGATGACTGTTACGAGAGCCTGTGTCCTTCGCCTAGAAACTGATCACCGTACGTAAATTAATTAAATAGTCCTTTTGCGTAATTTCAAGAATGAAATAGCTATCAAATATCCCTGTCTAAATCCCAAGGTAGAGCTAAAATTTAATGATCTGAATAAAGCGATTACAATAGCTTTCTAGGATAATGATCGACCTATCGGCCAGTGCGTATCGATCAGTGATTAGCAGCGGGAAGTCAAGAACAAGGAACAGTGGTCGAAAACGAGTCTTATCCAAACGCCGGCTTAAAAGATGCTTACCAACGATTTAGAATCTCTGTAAAACTCTATTCAACCCGGCATTATTCTAGATCGTCTGCCAGATGGAAATGCTTTATAAGAACAAATTCTTATTACATAACTATGGTTGCTATATGAGTACGACGAAATTTTCTGAGTCAAGGCTTTAGGTAAAAAAAAAAAAAAAAAAAAAAAAAAAAGGCTCTCGGCCCCTTCTAGAAAACAAAACGCAATAACACATGAAATGATATCTTAGAGCTCTGGCAAGTCGAAAATCAATAACTCAACTTCCGACCGTACCGTTATTATATTTTAGTTCCTAGAAATATCTATGTGTGTTTGACTATTACTAACGTCTTGCCTGTAAAGTATCGTAAAACTATCTCACTATCTAGCATAATTCAAATCGTAAAAACTACTACGCGGTGGTCTGAGATTGCAGCTGTATATTACATTATCTTCAATATAATAGATTTTTACATTTGCCAATCGTCTTCCAACGAAAACAATCAAGAACAAGTGTCTTCTTTAACGATAAAGAGGTCATTTAACACAATTTGTATGGTCATATTCCAGCAAATACAGGTCCATACGCCATACCGAAGGTTTACATAATATTCGTACCAAAAAGATAAGTTGAAACGCCATTCTTTAAGTTAATCTGTAATGCAGAAGCCGAAAAAGAAGCTTTCCTTTCTATTAGGCTTGTTGAAGAGTCGAATACCGGCGCTGCATTAACAGCTACATATGTCAGTAAGAACAATATGGGTACACAAGGAAACGTTTTTGTGTTTCTTTGGGAACAAAAAGTTTGTATAGGTAAATATATTTAGCCTTGTCTTAGACGAACAAATCCTAGAATAACCTTACATAGATATAGATATAGAGCAAACTTTCGCCATAAGGTTGCTTAATTATTCGGTATGTCAAAGCACACAATTCATTTTTCACTCATTATCCTGCTGCTGGCCTAGAAATAACAGTACAGTGTGTTTATAACACAGCTTTGATTAACCAGTCTACGATTTTTAGGTTATAGATGCGCCTCTTTCTTGACCGATTCTTTGAGTAATACGAACGCTTTTATCTGTCAAATAACATCGTGTATAAATGCGTCGCATACAATCTAGGGTTTCTCCTAAAGATTATCACCAGTATGTAGATGCTCGAATGAGGCAACCTTAATGCTAGTTCTATATAGTATATTCCTTTATTTTATCGCATCCGAAGCTCGGACAGCGATCTTCACTCAGAGTGATTCAAATATAGGTCCATTTGCATAGGCTTATCGCGGATGAGTGTAGTTAACTAAATGTACAGAGCCTATGTAATAGCACTCGAGCCTTGCGCTTCAGGCCGTAGATTATAAAAAGAGTCGTTCTTCAGAAGAAATTATCGAATCGAATGTCTAGCATGATTGGCATAATCAGGCTGCACCTTAAGACGTTCGTCCTGCGACGCTTTAGGTAATTGCGCATTCTAGCGGCAATAATTATGCCTAAAAGTTTTGCGACACAGGATGTGGAAGCAGGACACTACAATCAGTGACGGTAATGCTGTTAAGAACATGACATTAGGAGATTTTAAGATGACTCTTTCGACCAAAACGTCCTTTTGCCTGCTTGGCGCTATTTTTAATGTATTGTTTGATATGGTTGCATCTTACTGCTGATCTTTTCTCTACATACTAAAAATATAATAGAAGCTATATAATACAATTTTACTGTAGAGCAATATAAGCAAAGACCTTCACTAGATGGCAATAACTTTTCTATTTATGTCATAACATGCGCCTCATACGTCCGAGTAGCATAAGCAGTAGTGCTGGAGCAAAATTTCCTTTGCTTTCTTTTTCATGCTTACCGTATTAACCTTTGTTACATCAAAGTCTATTGCGTGCCTAGGTCTCACAGGGTCATTGTAAAGTAAAACCAGTATGCGCCCGCAACCCACACTCAGACCACGGATGTAATTCCTTAAATTTATATAGTTCTCACAATTTACACCTGAATCGTCGATTGGCACCGAAAAATTGTTGAAGGCATAATTTTTACATTTGAAGTTTGAAGTCACTTCGGTGGATTGACACCAACAGGGATGATTTGTAACTATAGCACAGTGAAATCTTTAGCTTTTTTACAAACGTCAACAGTGAATTAGCAGACTATCCTATATAACTTGTTTTTATAAACAAGAGAGCGGAGGCAAACAGCTAAATTGAACAGACTTCTATGTACCTCTCGCTTACAAATATTTTTTATTTGCCATTGAACAGTGAACATATACTCTAGTATTTTGTACCATATATATATATATATATATATATATATATATATATATACACACGCTTTACCTGTACTTCGTCGTGGATTAAAGGAGAAATGGATTCCGCCCGACGCAGCGGCTGGCGCGCTTAATGCGGTTCGGTTCCTTGAAGTTCAGAACAGATGTTGGTTTGTAATTGCATGAAGCGTAACGCTTTATCTACGTTTCCTTAGAAACTGGTTAGGCAACAACCCTTGTATAGGCAGTTGTCGGGTTCACTTTACAGCTTAAACTTGAGTGGCGAATGAGTGCCTACCATTCAAGGTGACCCTTGACCTGATCATCAGTAACATTTGAGACCAGTGCCAACGATGTCAATGCAGAAATGTATGATAATTGTTTTTGCTATAATTAAACGATATGCATTTAAAAATGTCCGATATTCTGCGTTTGATCTAAACCTGCTGCTTTGAATGGGCAACGATCGGTGAGCCACAGATAATGCGTGCATTAAAATATACAATTTAAAGTTAAGCAAAGGGAGGCGACGATTTTCGGTTTCAAGGCCTAGGTATACCTTACAGAATGGACATACACACTTTTCAATAATTTTATATTATTATGCAGATATCTATTTCAGCGATGCTAAATTATTATAAAGACAACACAAACAATTTCTTGCAAAATACTATTAGTAACTACACGATGTGTTAAGCGTCGAAACAGCACCGTAAGTTCGTTTTGCTACCTTCAACTTCAAAATTAGTTGGGCGTTATTAATATTCTGTGTTGATAACAAACTGAAGCTCCAAAAGAGCGTCTAAAAGTGACTACTAGCACTTTTGCCGTATGTTCCAGATAAAGAGGAAGTGTTCAGTATCATGAACTTTTATCAATAAAAAATTGAATCGGAAAACTAAAAAGATGACCATGATGGCATACGCGGGCTACATCATAAGCCAATTGCAGGTACAGTATATGTAGTTGCTTAAAAAAATACCGGCAATAGAAGTGACCATTCGTTTGATCCAAATTCTGCCCTCCACTTCTTCTGCCCCTAGTATTGCCGCCTTAATAGGTTGATCAATTTCTATGGTACAAAGTCAATATTAATTCATTGCGCAGTTACAAACACTGTTGCTACGCTCGTTAGAGCTTCCGCCGCATCTTAAACTATAGATAAGATAACTCAACCTTAAATGATAACGTGAGACTAATTTTTATATACTTGGCTTAGGGGGTAAATTTGCAATTTAAACCTTCGCTATTTCAATAATTATGATATGCAAAAAGCATTGCTTTGCAAGAATATGACCTTTCTTTCGTATCCTGGCGTCGCATCTCCTGTGTACTAACGCATTTGAGCTAGTTGTTATTTATACCGGGTGACAAAAAATATCATAATAGAGATCCTTAATATACGACATACTTTAAATTCAAACGAATACATATAACTTTAGCAACGGTATATATTCACTTTGGCTAATTATGCAAGGTATGTTGCTGGCATCAAAAAAGAAAGTGCAGAACGCAAGAAAGTGGGTTTTCTATAAACTGAACGGATCACTTCACAAAAAACCCACTCTCCTATAAGTGTGATGGTGTATTCCGCACGCCATACGGAATTAGTTGTTTTTAAATGAAAATTTCACTTGCGATAAAAGGTGGAAATTAAGCTTAATAAACTCGATTGAAGAGAAGATGTCCTTTACAGCTTAAGACAGTTGCGAAGTGATGAACGCGATACTTAATGTAAACAACTTATTAACATTAAGTAATACATACATACATACATATATTTACAGAATGAGTCGAAAGTTTTTTTGACAGTTGGAAAGACGAGGAGTTTGTCTCTGTAAGATATTTTATCTACGATTTGAAAGCTCAAGAGACCTACCCGAGTGCTATACGAAGCATTCAATATCACTCGAACAAAAAAGGCAATTAGGGAAATGGAGAGCGCTAGCATATATAGTCGATAGCCCTTCGCGTGCAAATTCAAACAAAGATTAAATGCAAATTCCACATTTAACACATATAGTCCAAGAGTCACGGGTTATATTCTCGTGTAGCATCATACAAAATGAGTAATGGTTTACCCTACATGGTACCAATCTGACACTTCGTGCTGACCGTCTTCTTCCCGTCTATGCCGACAATGGTCGTTGTTATAGCCATTGTACTTCAGCCGTATATTAACGATATCGTGCAAATTTAGGATGCTATTTAGGGTGTTTCTTTTAGAAGCCCGCTCTTCATTGATCTCCTCTTCTATACTTCAAGAGGTCACAAGTTTCGTGCTAATTTCAAAATCTAACCCTCGATTTAACCTATGTACATAATTCGATTCGACAGTTAAGATATACGGGGGGTATTTATTGTATAGAACCATTGAGTAAAATAGAAGATAATGGCACATTTTTTTTTTATTCACAGCACCCATTCATACAGGTAGTGAAGTTTAAACGTGAAGCAAATTGAGTTTTGGAGGAAATGCTTAGTGACTTCCAAATTATGTACAAATTGTAACAGTCGTTAAGATTCTGTATTGAAACATGACCAAAGAGGTTTCCTTGACTTTTAACACTTTTGTTGTATGCGAAAATTTTGTCTGAAACTTGGCTAAAGGAAGCTTGTTTGAGTGTTAACAACTTTTGTTTGTATGAGGAAACTCTGTCCTGGGGGACTTATTTAAAT